GGGGCGGGGGTCGCCCCCGCCGGTCCCCGCGGCGCTGCAGTGTCCGTCACGCCCAGGCGTCGTCCAGCGCCTCGTCCTCGCACGTTGTCTCTCCGCACACGCGCGTGGCCCCGTCTTCTCTCCGTGCCTCCGCCGCCGCGCTTCTCCTTTCGTTCCCAGCCACGCGTAGGACCTTTCCGTGTCGTCGCAGGGCCGCGCTCGTGCCGTACGTACCTATAACCCGAATCGTTTCCTCCCCGGTGTTTTATTTTGCAAGCGCAGCAGGTGCCGCGACGTGGCGCGGGGCATTGTGCACCTTGAGCGTGGAAGGAAAGCGCAGGTGCTGATGCCGCGTGTCGCCGCAAGCCGCCCGTGGGGAAAGCCTCTCCAGTTCCTCTTGGATGGAGGTTAAGAGTCAGCGGAGACGCCCCGTTGCCCGTCTCTAGTTGCGTTTGTGGCTGGGTGGAAGAGTTGTCTCTAGTCCCTTTGGAGGAGCCACCTCTTTCTGACCTGTGCCTCTTTGACGTCGGTTGTGGGCATTTCCACCGCGTGTTGTTCTCCTGCCAGCTTCCTGCGCCCGTTGTGCCGTGCATCCTGGTCGGATTGCAGGGTTACGTCCGCTTGCTTGTTCTTGGTTATAAGCTTCAAAAAGAAAGCTCCGGGCTGTTGCTAGCTGTGCTGTGCTGTGCTGCGCTGCGCTGCGCACTGGCTGGGTGCATCGGTTTCCTGTCTTCTAAGGCTTAAGTTCTAATTTTCTTAATCCTCCTTTACTGACAGCACTCGCAATGAAACTTGAACGGGCAGAGTTAATTTCCAGAGTGTTTCTGGGCAGGTGCATGATGTTTAACATGCATGTGGGAGGCTATATGTATGCCAAGTCCCCACAGCCTTGTGTGCTGTTTCATGTAGACCAGGTGCAGGGCCGCTTACTGAGTTTTGGCAAGCCATCGACGGCCACATGACAGGCAGCCAGCAGCAGATAAATATTTATCTTCTAAATTTTTTAAGGACCCCATGGGTCGGCTAGAATGGCCTGGCGGGCCGCGTTTTGCCCACCCCAATGTAGACAGACCCTTGCATGGACATAGTGCTGTTAACACCAGTGGGACTTGGCCCAGGGGATGTCACCAGCATTCATCGATGCAGAATATCTTTTGGAAAAGGGGACTATATTAGCATGAAATGCAAACAGACTCTCTATTATTCTGCTTCTCTGAAAAATTCTCTTTTCCTGACACACTGTGTCCAATCCATTGCAAATGCGCTTTTCCGAACTGATTTTTGTGTGGTTTCTCTTCTTGGCCATTGGTGAATTCTGCTAACAAAACCCCTTTGCCTTCTGAAAACCTCCAGAAGTTTGACTCGGGGAGCTGATCCTATGTTTGACAGTTGTAACAGTTCTGAAATTCAACTTCATTTTTGTATAGGGGGTTTTGTAATGTCTGGATGAAAACTATATCTTTGTTTCCCTTGTCAGCTTTTCCTTGTAACCTTTTCCTTTGAGTTTCAAGATTTTTAGGTAACATGGAAATAACATCTTTACAAATGGGGTTTGGAGTAAGTGAAAATGATCTTCTGGGCAAAAAAGCAGTTATGGAGACTGAAAGATAAAGGTTCTCCCTTGTAAATATGGACAGCAATCTTATTTTAAAGTGTTATCAAACTCAAAGCCTTGACACTTAACAAGTATTAAAGACCTTGAAGATTGTAACCTATTCATTTTTAGTGAGTCAAAACAATATTTGTGTTTGGAGCTGGGGAATCTGCTTTCCACAACTTCGTGCGCATGTGCTATGGCATAATTTCCCCAGACTTTCAAGCTGATTTTCCTTTTAACTGTGCACTGAAAATAAATATTTAAGTATGCTAAAATAAACTTGTGGATACAGACAAAAGTGCTGGGCTCCAAGTCTGTAAATGCAAGAGAGAGAGGAATTACAATATGGTTTAGTAGTAATTGCATATCTGTATTGATTTAGATTTATAAAATGCTGGAATGAAAAGATGCTAGTTTAAAAACTGTTAGTCTTTGACCTAGACTACAAAGGCAAATCAATACCAATTCTCACAGGCTCCTGACCCACCACTCCTGGGTGTGTCGAGAAGAATTTGACCATGTAGTGTGTGTTGAAGGTCAGCAGATCTCAGAGACTTGAAACCAGTTCCATTTGTTGATCCAGAAGTTGGGAGCCGTTCCCAAAGAGCAGTCTGGCCACCTCTCCTCGGATCCGGGGCGCTCCAGTTTCTGCATTTCGGCTGGTTAATTTCCAGTATGGTAATACAGCACGTGAAGTGAGACGGTCGGTTAAGAAAGTCCTACGTTATTGGGAAAATGATAGTTTCTAAATATCTCCACACTTCTTGGTTTTTGTTTTGTTTTGTTTCTTCAGCACAGGAAATGATTGTATAAGAAACAAGGCCATTTATTGAAACATGAGCTTTTCCTAGATATGGTGTATGTCTAACTAGTTATTAAGAGACCAGTTGCCATATTCAGGACATAGGAAAAGTAAGGGAATTGTCACAGAAAATTCTCTCAGAAAAGTGTTTAGTTCCTAGCCTAGATGTCAAGGGACTAGAGACTTCCAAGGAAGAGAATACAGAGGGTTCATTTTCCCACTCCAGTCTGAACATGGCTACTCCTTGGGAAAGCACTCGCATCCTCTTGTCTCCCATTGTATTTGAAAAGATGATGATCTTTCATTAATTTGTATGTTGAAAGTATTTTGCTACGTGATTGGTCTTTCTTTAAGTTGCTGCTGATGAAAATTGTGCTGTTGCGGTTGGCAAAGGAAGATATTTCTCTCTCTCTCTCTCTCTCTGTCTCAGAAAAAAAACACGCAGAAGTTCACTGAACAGTTTTCAGTTCGCCCTGCTGATGTGGGCACTCGATTTCAAAGTCTGTTGCATTATGATACTTGTCTGAGCTAGTCTGCCTCCCTGCTCCCCAGTCCTGTTCAGCCCGGCCTACTAATCTTGTTTGATGGAGATTAATACCTTCAGCGTAATCATGGGGCAAATTTATAGTACAAAGTATAGGGTTATTCTCTTATTAATACTAAGGTTTGAGAACTGCATTGTAGCTAACTGAAATGTGTGTTGCATGGTTTGAGATGATGAACATTGCGAGAGAGAAAAATCAGCTAAGTGAGTTTTATAAACTATGATACTTAAAAGTGCAAGAGGTGGAGATGTTTTGGGGTGATATCCTTTATTGGACCAGCTGAATAGTTGGGGAGGACATAGACAAGTTTTCAGGCACAAGGTACATGAGGAAGGTAAATTGTATCCAAAAGATTTATATTTGCTCCAGTAAAAAGTACCACTCCTCCAAAAATCATTGCTTCTCATAAGCTTCCTGGACCATCACGGCTGCAGCATCCACACTTACTTAAGTGTCATTTTTTGCTTAACTTTTTCCCCTAGCACTTGATGACATGCCATTTATTTAAATAGCTCAAGTCTCTTAACTCATTCAGCTTTTGTAAGTATTTGTGAGAGAAGAAATATTGTATGTTTTTATTTAGAGTAAATTATCATGGAAACCCTTCAAGCTTGCTGAAGAGGAGTTTTCCAGTAAATTGGAGTGGTCCTGATTTTGTCTTGCCTTGCCTTGCCTTGGCCTGGCTGACATCTGACTTGCCCAAACTTGCTTTGGAAGCTCATTTCTGCATAGGCTTGATGCTAACAAATGGCAGGAAAAATATAACTTACTTATAGCCCTTCTTACTCTGGTAACTGACAGCTCTCAGTATGCAATCTCCTCCTCTGCCCCCTCCCTCTTTTAAGTAATTGTAGAAGACTCTTATAGAAGTGAGAACCGTTCTTTTTACATCACTGTAGAAAAAACAGATAACGCATAAGCAGTGGTTACATTTTCAAGCCTCTAAATCAATATAGTGTTTTGAGGATTTTATTACTTTTTAGATATCTAGTCTACTAGATATAGCTAAGATGCATGTCACCTTAATATTTAAGCACCATGTCCCTGTTTCCTTATCTGTCATCTGTTGTGATGACTTATCAAGTGTCATGTCATACAAATCAGAATCATCCCTGCTAGTGATGTGCCAGAGCATTGTGATGTGTTGTGCAGTAATTTCAGTTGCATTACGGTGCACTTCTGTGACTTCTAATACTCCTATTGGCACCTCATGACAACTTATATCTGTCTAATACATTGGAGTGTTCTTTGTGTAAATATGAGATTACCGGGAGTAAGAGTTTATAAATATCACAGGAATTGGCATGCAAAATGCGAGCACTGTCTTGAATTCTAGGGGTGTATTTGCAGACACATGAAACTTAACTTTCTTCTCTTGGTCATAGAAAGCAAATCATATAAATATCTCGGTTTTTCTATATGTTGTGCCCTAGGAACATCTAGGAGTAAACTTCTGCCAACCCCCATTTACATATTTAATTGTCTGGAATCAGGTTGAGTCAGAAGTGAATGCAGCTGGGTGGTCTTGGGTTTTTTTAAACCCCAAGAGCCATTCTTTAAGCTTCCTGTTCTAAAAGCTGGAGTACTGTGAACTGAATGTCTCTGTAACCTACCGTAGGGAAGTTACAGCTTGGAAATAGTTTGCTCTTGATGTTTTCCTTAGGCAAGCTGTAAGTGGGAAGGAACTTTTTCTTTTGATTTGAATGTCTTATTTCAAGTATTCACAATAGTATGCTCTATGCACATAATAGCTGTATCTTGAGCAGTGAAAGTAAGACTAAAATACAGTCATTTCTTGACAGCATTATATGCAAACTTCTCTTTTTGCTGAGCTACAGTTGGTTATTTTGGTCACTTTTTAACAGGCATTTTTAAGTGATAGTCTAAAGCCTGCCACAATGCGCCCCCCACAACCGTGTCATTCCTTTACCGTTATGAGGTGTTCACAACCCAGTTGTGAACTCCATGCTAAAGATGAAGATAACTGGGCCATGCTACTGCCTGTGTCCACGTGACTGAAGAATTCATTGTTGAGAACCCATGGGTGGGAACTGCGGCCGTTATTACTTTTTAACGGCATTATACTTTTTTACGGCATTATACTTTTTATACTTTTAACTGCGGCATTATGCCTTTCCAGACACTCAGAGTTCCCTGGTAATTGTTTGCAGGCACCTCATTCTTGTTTATGAAGGTTTAGCAAACTATGGAAGCTGTTTAATTTGCAAATGAGGCAAGATTTCACTGTGGCATGTAATTAATTTGGGCGTGTTTTATTTCAC